AGAAGGGACCATGCCCAAGCACTCTCATCCACTCCCGGCTGGCTGGGGAGGCTCTGTGACACAACAGTAACAACATCCTGGTGGTGGATTGACTTTGCAGTTAAATGGAGGGAAAAGGAGTGCATTGTGTTTCACTGTGTGCTGAGGGTGGCTGTCATGGGGAGCTAGCAAATCCTGCTGTGATTTGTATACAGGAATTCTGGCAAAGTCATGGAAGCAAAGTGGTTACTTGCCTTTGAGGGCTTGAGAGAGATCTGTCTTGGATATCCTCTTGTTGACCTTATTGAGTTAACTTTCATGTGTTTAGAAGGTCATGGAGAAAATCATTAATATTAGGTTGATTTGATGGCTGAAAGGTAATAAGTATTTCCTGCTTCTCAGATGGGGTTTGAGAGGACTTTGAATAGCCTGATTTGTTTATCTTTTGCAATCGGTATGGCCCTTAACTAGAGGGATTTTGTATTCCTGCTTCAGCTGGGGGAATGACATATGGTAGAATGACATACAGAGCTCTCTATTGAGTGCTCTGTAGCATAAATAGCAAAACACCAGGAAATTCTCAAGTCCAGCTCCCAGCTAACTTGGGTATGCTGTGGGCCTTGGACATCTCGTGCTGTAACGCTTTATGACATGAACAATAACAGATTAACATCCCCCCTTACTGGAAAGCTTGAAATAGAAAAATCCGAAGTGCGTGGAGGTTGGTTGGGTGGAAAGCCAAATCCTGCAAACGTGGCTTGGCACGGCCAGGGTTTCATTCACCTTGGCAGGGCTGGGATTGCTCCATTCACAGGAGGCATCTGTGAGTGCAGAGATGGGGCACGAGCCTGTGCAGGGCTGACATCACAGTGCTGCTGTTGGAGGCTTTCGCCGCCCCTGAGCTTTTCTTGGATTAATGCACAGTGAAACCTTAGGCTGCATCAGCAAAATGGTCTTTCCCTCGCCCTCCATCTGGGATTTAACAAAGAGGGGAGTCATTCTTTAAGCTGAAGGATCATTGTAAAGCCATTTAAAATGAAATCCACTCTTATTTGAGAATCATTTGGCAAAAAAGGACATGAAAATCTCCCGTTGTGGACTCGCTGGAAGACAGATGTAGTTTCTGGTTCCTTTGGCTGTTGGGAAAGGAGGTAGGACTGAATGCTCCACCTTGAACGACTGGGCAATGACAACAGACAAGGGAGAGCAGCCTCCTTTCATGAGTGAGGCATTCCTGTTGCTTCTGGGGCTTGAGGTGATGGTTGTTTTTAAAATAAATGCTGTTTATTCCCTTGTATAAACTCTGGATAGCCAACTGTATTTGTAGCTGGGTATTATCACTGAAAGGTGTAGTGACAAATGAATAATAAATGCATAAAGAACTGATGGAAAAGGAAAAGAGAGGAAGAGTGAAAATGAAATGAAATTCATTGTTCTGATTTAACAACTGGGGTTTTGCAGGTTTTAGATTGTTGCCAAAGAATGAGATGGAGTTACACAAAACCACTGTCTTGAGATGCTGAAATGGACATGCACAGACAGCAGCCCATACCAGTTGGACAGATGCCAGACAAACCATAATACAGCCCCAGATCCCTGCAGGAGTCCTGTCTCCTGTGTCCCACACTGCTGCTCAGGAGCTACAAGGTGCAAGCAGCCCTTCCCTTGAGGGACCTGTTGTGTGGAGCTCTGGACCCAGGGTCTGTTTTGCTGCCTACACCGAGGTGTGGATGATCAGACTGAAAGGCAAAAAAGGGCCTCATTTTTGTGTATGGTATGTTATGTGCAGTAACAGCATTTCAATAGCGAAAACAAAAAGGAAAACTTGCTTTGGTGAACAGGAGTGACAGCCCTTCAGTTTAAGGGACTTAAAGACATTTCTGCATTCAGGTGTATTTGAGGGTGAGTGTACTTGGTTTCAGGTGACCTCCCTGACTGAGTGTTTGCGATCAGTTGCCAAAGGAGACATATGTTACTAATTTTTATGAGATTTATAGAAGAGTCTCTCTTTTGGTATATATACATGGACTTCCTTATCTCAGAGAGGTTTGCTGCTTGAGGGAGTGTACCCTCTAGGGAAGAGGTCCTGTGAGAGTGAATTTTAGCAATGATCGAACAGGTAAAATCTCATAAAATCAACACTGCATGAAATCTTTTTTTTTTTTGGTATTGATATTCTCTGCTGCAGGCCAGATGCAGCCCAGGCTGGCACGGTTAATTCCCTTTGGCCACCCTCCAGCAGAGCATCCTGTTTCCACGGGGTGGTTAAGTATGAGCTTATCTTTAAGCAGGTGGCTAAATCTGGGTGGTTTCACTGCTGCTCTTACCATGGCTTCTGGCCAGGAGAAAGCTCAGTTGCAAGGGGAGCCTGTAGCCTGTTCCTCTTCCAGGATTTCTGCCCTGGGTCACAACTGGGCACTTCTAGGGAAGTGGTGGAGTGATACAGGCTAGACTGACTGTATTTTGGGGTCAGCATCACCTGCTGATTCCTGCATCAGCTACTTCAGGTCTTGGCTAAGGGTGAGGCCAGCCAGCTCCTTGGACAGGGAAAGAGGAGATGTCACCCCCTGTGCTGCTGGGGCCCTTCTTGCAAAGGGAAGGGGCACTTAATTAGCTGATCTTAGGACGGTGGTGACAGTGGTGCACAGGTGTGTTGGTGACATGCTGGAGCTGAGCACTGTGCAGGATGCTCTGTGGGTGCTCCTGGGCCCACCGAGGCACTGCAGCTATGGGCTGGGGCCTTTGCAGTGTGAATGCTCCAGACACAATTAGAAGAGAATTAAAACATGTTTTGGAAAACAGATTGCATTTTCTGTTGGGAGTTTCCAAAAAAGCAAAGCAACCTGCCCTTCCCCCCACTTCAAATCCCACCTGTTTTGGTTTTTTTCCTAGAAAAATGTGAAATTCATTAACATGTGGTGAAAGCAATGTAACGACGTCATCTTGATTTAAAATCTGTTTTAAATCTTAAAATAATGGAGCCAGAATTTTAGCTGCAAATAGCCTTGCTTTGTGGGCACAAGGCAGACTGTCAGCATGACTGGAACCTCTGTGGGTTTGGTAGTTTAGCATCCTTTGCAAAAATGGGATTTGAAAAGAAAGCAAGAAAAGATATAGTAAGGAAAAAGATAAATTAATATGATTTCTGTGAAAAGTCAAGTCCTGTGTGTTTCACTCAGGTGTAGCTGTGGTGCCCGGGGAGGGCAGGGCAAGCAGAGCCCTGCTCTCTGCTGGCCAGGGCTCTGTCAGTGTCCTGATGTGGCACCCTGCCATGCCCTCTGGCTAGGGGCTGCTCCTCCTCCCCCTCCCCTGCTCTGGGTCACAGCTCCTGGCCACCCTGTTTTCTGAGAGTGGGAAATATTGTGACCCCTGTCTGTCACCTCTGACATCGCTGCAAATGTCTCAGCATTGCCCTGAGCCTCCCTTGCCCAGCCTCTGCCTGTGCCTTCAGCTCCCTGTGGGCTTCTGACAGCCAAATCAGAAATAAATCACCTTCTCCTCAAAATGTCAAACACCAGAATCCCAGATTTTAATAAGCACACCGAAGGCAATCCTGCAGCATCACTGGGAACCTCATTGCTGCTGCCACTGTGCTGAGCCTGGGCTTTGGCTCAGGGTGATTTCTGGTCTGGTGCCCAGCGGCACTGCCTGCCTGAGTGAGGTTTTCTTCCTGCTGCAGGCCTGGGTGTCCCCAGGATAACTGGGAATGCTGCAGAGTTCTATTGAGGTTTTGACTTTCAGGCTTCACTGTATTTACAGGTGTGAGATGATGTGCAGGAGACTGAAGTGGGGCTCTTTGGTGTGTTGTGGCCACTTTCTTGATGTGTTTTAGTCTGGAGTGGATCTGAACAAGGATTTATTGACCTTTTTCATTTTCATTGCCAGTTCCCTCCCCACACTGATACATCAGAACACTTTTGCTTGCAGGCCATGTTTTGTGTCATTTGCTGTCCTGTAAAGGGACAAAATGTTGCACATCTGTGAGTTTGGAGGGGATGGTGTGGACGTTGTGGTGCAAATGCCCCAGAGATCATACATGGAGTTCATGGAACAATTTTTGGGCTTTCCTGTTGTTTGGGTGTGAAGAGCTTTTTGGGTGCATGCTGCCCAGTCTCCCCTTTGGGAAGGTATCTTGAGAACAGTGGTGTTGTTGGATCCTCTGACCTTGGGCAAGTCAGGATGACTCTTGGGAAGGAAAAGTGGGACTCCTGTTTTGATATTTCTTGGGAATACTTAAAATAGGAAACAAAATGAAAAGTTTATGGTAATATTTTAAGCTGTAGTGAATTAAGGTTAATTTACTCCCTTGGCCAGAAAAAACAGATGGGGTGGCTGAGGCTGTCAGACCCCTGCTGATCACAGCCACTGGTGGAAAAGCTGGTTTGACTCTCACCGCTCCTCCTGTGACCCTTTTGAGGTGGACAGAAACGCATCCATGGCTGGTGATCACGAGGTGGCTTCACTGCAGAGCAGAGCTGGTCAAACAGTTAAGCTGAAGAGTGTACAAATGTCACTTCTATTGTAGTGGGTTTTATGCCAGTGTGAAATTCAAGTCCAAACAGCTAAGGGCAACACAAAGAGTTTTTTCCCTTGCCTTTTTCCTGCAGCTAACCCAGAGACTCAGTGCAGCTGCTGGAGGTGATGCACCAAATCTCTGAGAAAGGTTTGGCTGGCCCCACTCTCCAGTTTGTGCCTGTGTAACCTGGTAGAGGCTGTGCATATGCAGTGGGTAGCCTAATTTATGGTCAGCGTGGCTGACTAGGATTTAATCAAAGCAGGGGTAAGCAGAAGTTTTTATTCACAAACCCCCAGTTTGATTGTAATGGCCCAGGTTTGTGGAGACCCAGCTCTGGGTGGAATTACACACAAGTGTCTGACACTGCTGCCAAGTGAAAGGCAGCCAAATCTGAGTCCCTCAGTGCCAGTGCCCTTGGCAGGCGAGTCTGCAGTCCCTCTGCCCCAGAGCCTTGTTGTGTTCATGGTCTGTTCTGCTCTCTCTCCCCACTCCCCACCCATCTCAGATGTTTGCTGCTGAGGAGAATGTGGATTTTCGGATACACGTGGAGAATCAGACGCGAGCGAGGGACGATGTGAGCAGGAAGCAGCTTCGGCTCTATCAGCTCTACAGCAGGACAAGTGGAAAGCACATCCAAGTGCTCGGCAGGAGGATCAGTGCCAAAGGAGAAGATGGAGATAAATATGGTAAGAATATTTACTGGGATCCTCCAGACTTCAGGTCAAAGGCTTTAATCCAGGGTGTTGTGCTAAGAACCTCTTGGGAGAAAAGTAATAAGAGCAATAAAAACCAAAATAAAAGGAAAAATAACATTTCCAGGTTAAGAACATGAGATTTGTTTTGCTGGTGCTGCCTCCCAGCTGCAGGCAGTTCCTACAGTACTGCCATGCCCCAATTTATTAGTATATGGTTGAAGAAAAGAATGTCTTTCTCCCCAAGCCATGAGCTCACAGTGTGTTTACTGCAATTCATAAATGACACCTAAATTGGTGGTTGGGGAAGTCCTTTCCCCATGAACTCTTGGGCTCATGTTTGGGTGAATCCAGTGTTTGAATGAAGCACTCTCATTTTTTCGGGTGGTGAGATACTTGGTTTGAACTGAAAGTAGACTTTGAGAGCTTTGAGAGTACCCCAGAGCTCAAGCTGAATCTCTTGAGTGTGTGGAACTTGCAGGAAAAACAGTACTTACCCTGTGCTAGCAGCGCGTTCAACTGTTCTTGTTGTGATTTGCACACAAGCAGCATGCTGGAAATGCTGCTAGAGGCTGGGCTATGAAAAATGCTGTAATTCTGGTTCATTTTGAGATGGTTTCTGCTGAGATGCTTTTACTCTAGTTGGCTGTTGGGAGGATTTTAGGGCTGTTAGAACACCGGTTCTGTTTGCGTTTGGGGTATGCAGCCCTGTGTGTTCCTGTGCTGCTGCAGAGGTGTGTGTGAGAGTTTGCTGGATCAGCCATTCGTGTGGGATTGTGTGGGGCAGCACTGGTGAGGTGGAGCTGAGCTTCGAGGAGGGCAGGTCAAAATCTGGGAGAGGTTGTTCCCTCAGGAAGCTTCAGGACGGATGAGGCACACGCTGAGCACTGAGGGCAGCTGCTGCCACTGCCGGCACAGGTGCAGGAGCAGCGTGAGCTGTGCCACGGGAAGCGACAGCCAGAGAGCACCTGGCAGGTAGGAAGTGACCCCCAAGGCACTTGTGTGGGGTCAGCCCCTCTCTCAGAGCAAGCCCTGCCCTTAGGCCTCATCAACCTTGTCCTTTGTCGTTCCCAAATTTCCAGATATTACAGGAGTGAAAAGTGCCACCTGGCTGCTAATTATCGTGTCATTTTATGGCATTCATCCTCCTGAGCTCTGATGTGCAAACGAGGCGCTGCCGCCGCCCGGGTGCGGCTCCTGCCCGCGGTGGCTGTCAGGTGCCGTGGTGCGGTTTTCCTCTCGGTGAAAGAAGGCAGCATTTACAGTGGGTGCAGCAGGGAAGTGTTCCCGGGAGCAGCTGACAAGTGCTAATTTATGTGTCAAAGCCCATCTTGTCCCCTTCATACATATGCAATCGTGTCTGAACAACAAACCCGCGCGTGCGGGAGCGTGCTCGTGGCCGAGGGCGCTGCTGCCACGACAGAGCCCGAGATTCCCGGCCGGGAGCTCCTGCATCCCTGCCTGCCTCCAAACCCTGCTCCTGCATCCCTGCCTGTCTGCAAACCCCGCTCCTGCATCCCTGCCTGTCTCCAAGCCCCCGCTCCTGCATCCCTGCCTGCATCCAAACCCCACTCCTGCATCCCTCCCTGTCTCCAAATCCCGCTCCCAGCTGTCGGTGTGCTCCGTGGGTTGTTTGCTTGCACCCCCAGAGCCTCCTCAGCAAATGCGCCGAGGCTGTGGAGCCTTCTCGCCCCCAGTCCTGTGAAAGGTTATGGAAATCTGCTCTTGGTCCTGCTTGGCACAGAACACTCAGAGCATGATAATCGGGGAGACAGTGAGGTGGGACACGGCGGGCTGGGATGGAACCACGCAAAGCTCCTGTCTGGGATAATGGAGGGGGGAGAGATGTCGGAGTTACTGGAGTGAGAACCATCTGCGTTACAGCCCAACCTGGACACAAAGGCAATGACACAGGGTTCATTATGTGCCAGGAACCCCTCCCCCTGAGGCATTATTATGGAGTAACCTTTGATCAAGACCAGAGAGAGGCTTAAACTGGGTCTGGGGATCTCAACAGTTGCAAACTTTTGATCCACGTCTCCGTCTTGCCGGTCAGGTCTGCATGTGGAGGAGGACACCTCTCCTCCCACGCAGCAGATGGCTGAGTGTCGCCCTGCCCTTTCCCTCTCCTTCCCTCTCGGGACAGAGCCGGGCTGTGCCACCCTCGCCGATGGCACCGGCTCCTGCCCCGGCCCTGCTGAGCGAGTGCACGGCGAGAGCGATGTGGGCTGGTGGCCTAAGGGTTGCAGCTTGGGGAAGGCTTTAGGAGGAGAAACGCGCCTGAGAAATGTTTGAGAAAAGGCAAGAGATGTGGGAAAAGGTGCCTGTGAGCTGGCTTCAGCCGTGAATGGTCCAGTTAGGAGAAGGTGACATCCAGCAAGGGCCACGCCGGCTCAGGGTTCACGTGGGAAGCTCTGGCAGGGCAAGGTCCCCGATGCTCATCACCAGCCCTTTAGCACCAGCCCGTTTTAAGGATTGCGGAGTAAATAATGTTTTAGCACCTCTTTCCCGTCTTCCCTTACATTCACAATATGCCTCCAAAGTTTCTTTTTTCCTTTTCTTTTTTCCTTTTTTTTTTTTTTTCACATATACAGCTTCCAAATGGGAGAGTTGTCCTGCCTTTGAAGGGAGGTTACTTTTATTGCAAGATTTATTGATTTCTGTAAAACTGCTCGCCTCTTGGCTGCAGAGAATGCCCAGAACAGAGGGGAGGTGGCAGATCTCAGGCAGGGAACTTCTGCTTTCCAAGCAGCCAGCCGTGGCTCAGGGAGGAATGATGCTGCAGGGCTGGGGGATCTGGCCAGAGGAATCCCCGTTGATTGTTTGATCCAGGTGTGCAAATGCCATGAGCAAGGCAAAATGCATGCTCTGCAATGCTTAATTCTGCTGTCATCATAATTCCGGTGTGTAATTTTTGGTTTATGCATTCTTTGGGGCCGAGATCTGGCCCCATGTGTCAGATTATTAAATGGCAAATTAAGTCAGTTAATAGAATTAATTGAGTCGATGTAATCCATTTAGTCAGATGGATTTGATCCCTTCTCAGATGAATTAGAATCCATTAACAGATAAGTCAATTATTGGACTAAATTAAATCTAATAATAATGCCTGCTGCTCGCAGCAACACTAATTAATCTAAATACACTTACCTGTCTCCTAAGGTTGTTTTTTTTTTTTAAAGGCTTAATTGATGTTCCTAAAGTGCTCTGAGATCTTTAGATAATAGATGATCTGTGTGAGCAAAATATTATCTCTTAACAGACTATAAACTAATTAAAGGACTGATCTATTTCCAAATTGCATTTTTGCTTTAATCCCTTCAACCTATTCAGAAAGAATTTACACTTATTCCTATTTGCACAATATTCGTATTATAAGCTTATTATTACTCTACAGGTTCCTAAGTGGTCCTTTCATTCAGAAAATGAAAGGGTGAAGGAGAAAAAACAACCATTAAAGTGCTGACAAAAAAAAAGGGACCTGGAACCTTTATATTCTACCTCCGATAAATGGTACAGATAGGGAAGAGAGGGATCAGTGACCTGAAACCTTAGATCCTTTCATTTATTTTCATTTCACAAAAGGCAGAAGACATTCTATCCTGTTTGTTCACGATCTGTGTATCCGGCGCAGTTGGGCAGGCAGAGCTCTCTTGGTTGGGTGAAGGCATTTTTTGCCTCATTTGTATTTCACAGCCATGGGGTTTTTGGTTTAATTTGTCCCCAGTCGTGCTGTCCTGCGGGGCACTGAGCAGTGATAGCAATCAGTGCAGAGGTGTGAGAGCCCTCTGCTCCTCTCGGTGGAGGGAACTTTAACTTTGGGAGTGCATCTCTAATCGGCACGTTCCAGGTGGGGTTTGCCCCAGTGATCCATTCCATCACAGTTTCAAAAACACTCTTCAGGTCCCTCAGGAGTTATAAACCCTGTGTTTTATAAACCTTCCTGACTGATAAGCTCTCCAGTCTATACCGTGGAGGCTTAATCTGGGGACAGCCTGTGCAAGGGGCAGGGCACAGGTGGCACATCGGCACTGGGCACTGAGGCAGGGCCAGCCCCTTGAGGCTCCCCGGTTCCGTGGGTTTAGCTCAGAACTCCCGTGGGACGGGTGTGGGGTCTTAGCAAAGCTTGGGAAGGAAGGAAGGGAAGGGAAGGGAAGGGAAGGGAAGGGAAGGGAAGGGAGTGTGCACACGATGCCGGGTGTGACCTCCACATGCCACGGTCGTTCTGGGCACAGACATCACGCCCCGCACAGATGTGCTTCTTTGGGTGGTACAGAGGCAGCAAGGCGCTGAGGCAGACTTGTCACTTGCTGGGTGTCGCTTGCTGGTGAGCCCTGCAGCCCCCGCCTCCCGCTCGAGCTGGAGCTGCCCTGAGATGCCAGCGGACCTGCCCACGGAGAGCGCATTACAGCTGTCTAGACATCAGCCACACTCCATCCTGCCAGAGATTTCGTTTGTGGTAGAAGTGGGCTCTGTTCCATGAGGAGGTGTAATATGTGTGGAAAATATTATAGCAAAATAGCCTCCTTTAATTGACTCTAAATTTTGCAGTATTCCTTCCTAGGTTTGGGTAATCCGGTGCTCTCCAGAATTAATGGCTGACATAGCACTTCTTCGGGTTTGGCAGCCTGACAGCTAATTTAGAACTCCCTAAACTCATTTCACTAATGACTCCCATTTGTTCTATCTGAAAGCCTGGAAACAAATGCAAAATACCAGCGCCATTGTCCCATCTTTAGCAAGTCATTCTTTCCCTCCGTATTTCTGGCACCTTAACAGCAAGTTGCCTTGGGAAATCTGATTAACCCTTCCCCTTCCTGGAATAGTTTAAATCAATTTTGATCCCTCTCTTGGAAAGAGCAGGAGTAAAAAACTAAACTCATTGTGGCTGGAAGGCTCAGAATTTCTGTGCAAGAAAGATAAGAGATACAGTCCGAACATCAATTTGGATTTGTGAAATGTCGCTGTATTTCCGCAGTTTTTCCACGTGTATT